CTGAGAAGCAGCACTGACTGGGGCTTAGCAAGAGCAGAGGAACCCCTGGTCCCACAGTGATGTGCACACGAGTGCACCGAGCAGTGACCTGGGGACCGGGATGACTGCAGCTCACCCTGCTACAGAAAGCCACAGAGATCAGGGCTGGTTTGCTCCTTCATCCACACTGGTGAAAATCCAGCGCACACACACACAGAAGAGGCACATTTCAAGCATCATCAGTGGCTCTCAGGGAGGTGAAATAAAGGAGAAGTTAAACATGCATTCATATTTCGTGAAAGTACAAGCTTTGAAGGTGTACCATGCACCATCAGTGCAACTGCACCCAGCTCCTTCCATACCTGCAGTCCTCCCATCAGCCAGAGACTCTTTTAGAGCGAATTATCTTTCTTTACCTTATTTTTAATAGTGTTGGGGAACGACAATCCTTCCAGGGGGAGGAAGCTGGTTACAGTGGTGCTTGTTGCTTATTTCACCTTCTGGAACTCAGGCTACCCATAACTAAGGTAGTCATAGTAAAAACTCTGCACCAGAAGTTCGTTTCTGGTTGCTTGAGGAAAAATAATGAAAGCCCGGAACTCAGGACATCATGCGCTAGAGGGAGATGTCCAGATGAAGCTGTGTTCAGGCTCTGTTGAACATGAATCTGTGCCTGGCAGGGCACAAACAAGAGAGAAAATTCAATAGGTTTCTCTTGGCAACAATCTGTAATTTCTTGTAAACGAGTTAAAGTTTGCGAATGTGATTCAGACAGTGCAAGGTTTGCTCTCCAGGAGAGGGCTATGAGGTCAAACCAGAGATCAGCATCTTGTCCCTGACACCAGCCTGGCGTAGACACTCAGGGAAGAGTGTAAGAGCAGTGCACACACTACAGACCTGCTCTCCTGGTGTTCTCAAAGCCTCCTGCGCCAGAAGTGGCATCTCATCCTCAGGCACAGAGTGAATGAGAACAGGGTGAGGCTCAGCTGAACTCTGGGGACTGGGCAGTGGGGGTGCTCCAAGTGGCACAGAATTGCAGTGTGAGGCTGGAAAGTTCCACTTACTGGGACAACTGGTTTGCCAAGGCAATCCATGGTGAACTCCTGCAGAAAACAGGGTGGCATTAACAGGCAGCCCTACAGCTACTGGAATGCTTAGCTCGAAGCCATGAAGCAGTTCAGTATGGAGAAGAGAAGGCTCCAGGGAGACCTTATTGCAGCCTTTCACTACTTAAAAGGAACCTTTAAGAAAGATGGGGAGAGACTTTTAAAGATGGGGAGAGACTTTCCAGCAGGACCTGTTGCGGCAGGACGAGGGGTGATGGGTTTGGACTAAAAGAGGGAGATTGTGGCTGGACATGAGGAAGAAACTTTGTACAATGAGCGTGGTAAAATCCTGGCACAGGTTGCCCGGAGAGGTGGTGGCTGCCCCATCCCTGGAGACATTCCAGGCCAGGTTGGATGTGGTTCTGGGCAACCTGCTCTAGTGGAAGGTGTCCCTGCCCATGGCAGAGGGTTGGAACTGGATGAGCTTTGAAGGTCCCTCCAACCCAAACCAGTCTGGGATTCTGTGTCCTTTTTGCACATCTGGCACTGGATAAAAGAGACCTTTCAATCCAGCCAGTCTAATGCAAAGCTCAGACACTTCAAAAGCCGCCAGCCAGGCAGGAGCGAGTGCCAGGACTCGGCTGTATAACGGCGTGTCCAGAGGCCCAGGCCAGCACTGCAGGACCCCGGGACAAGCCGGGGTTCGTGCCCATCCCTCGCTGGCCCCCACTCCATGGGTGTGAGCAGAAGACATGAGCGCAGGCTGCTCTCTGCTGGTTAAACACTGCCGCGCAGCCCTGCTGGAGAGCGGCTGAATGGGGTGGAAATGAACTTAAATACCTTTCCTACAGTTGACTTCATGCCTATGAACATTCTCTGCAATAGAAATAACTTCGGGGAGCTACATTTGCTTTCATAAGCTTGGTCCCCTAACTTCAGCTTTAGGTAAGGCTTCTATGTATGGCTTTACATACATACCCAAGCACCAGCTGAAATACCTGTTCTGAAACGTTTCCCTGTGAGAGGTGTGGCTCTTTGGAACTGCACGTCTCTGTTCTCTTTCCGGACTGAAAACTTGCATTTTGAGCCGATTCAAAGTGAACTCACTTCTGCACTTCGACTTTTCGCTTGCCAAGAGCTTCCCTTTCGCTCCCATGTAGTGGGATCCGAAGCAGAACCATTTGCTCTTTTTCCTCAAAGTGAAAACCCCAGACTCGGGGCACTTTTCCCACCTGCTCAGCACGGATCATCCTCCCTTGCCAGGAACGCTGCACTGCTTGTCACTATCCACGCTCCTCCGTGTCCAGAAACAGTGATGAAGTGCTGGGAGCATGGGGCATGACACAGAAAGTGGCTCTTTGGGGACCCCAAGGGGAAAAACGAGAAATAGAAAGAAACCTGCTTCATCACTTCTCAATAATCTCAAGCTTTTTGGGTTGTTTCAACCCAGCAAACACCAGGATGTTGGGCACCAGCCTGGGTGGGTGAGGAATATGCCCAGGTCTGCTGGGTCCAGCCTCACTCCAGAGCAGCCCTGAGAGGCACCACTTCTTCAGGTAACCCTTGGGAGCTACAGAGCAACCCTTGCTGCTGGGCCAGGGCTATGATGGGTGAGGAATATGAGTGCCAACTCCTAAATATTCTTTGAGACTCCTCAGCAGATGCCAGCAGTCAGCAACGTAAGTAGCAGATCAACTCACCCAAAGAGAGCAACAGGAGTGATGTACCAGGGGGATGTCAGACACTCACATGCAGAGAGGGATCCCAGGAGAGCCTTGCATTTGGAACTGAGGGGATTTTCTTACCTTGGAGAAAGGAGAAAGCACCAAAACTGCATCCCCAGCCCTTGAAAAACTGTCTTCTGCCGCTCTTCTGGGAGGCTTTGATAGTGCAACATCATGAAAACAGCTCCTAGAAGCCTCTAAGACAAGACTAGAGCAGAAGAATCCTCAAAGGAGCCCTATGTGCAGTAGCAGTGGCTTGCCACAGGGTAGTGGATGGCTGGTATTAGCCTTCAGCATCTCTTCTTCCCAAATTGTCCCAGGTTCTTTCTGAAGCTCGTTTGGCAGCCTGTTTCCTACCACCCCTTGGAGCACTCTCCCTCGTTACTTGACTAACTTCTCTCTCCTTCCCAGAGCCCGTCCCTTCCCAGGTATGAGCTGCTGTCTGCTGTGGCAGCAACAGTACACGGGGTGATGAGCACCCAGCTTTGCAGCCCAGCCTCCCTCCTGCTCCCAGCCTCTCCACATCTCAGGGCCAGTGGCAGCACTGTTTTCTGCTTGTTTGTGGTGGTCCACGGCCCTAAAGCAGCTGGAATGCAGGAAAGGGCTCCTCTTAACCCTAATCCCACACACCTTTTTATGATTCCCCATGGAATTACAGAGCTATTGCACTAGATCCTAACTTCTATAAGAAAAGGCTTCCTGGAGGCTGAATCTTTTCAGTTCAATCTCCTAAAGGCTTAGGATCATAGGAGAGTTGGTGGTACTTTGGTTGTCACCAACTACCCACCAAAACTCCATACAAAATTTTACTTTCCAGCTCCAAAACCGTTAAAAACAGAAAAATCACATTTTATTTGGCATGAAGTGTTGATTTGACACAAAAACACCAGTATAAAACATAGACCAAGGTATGCAGCTTGGGCAATAAGCCACTATCCATGCTCCTTCATGTCCAGAAACAGCTGATGAAGCCCTGAGAGGAAGTGACAGCTAGAAACCCTGCTGCATTGTTCCCAAGGAACCATTATCACAGTAAGAGAGATGATCCACAGCACATAAAATGTATTAATTTAATCCACAGGACTTTTTTGTTTTATCAGGAATTCACTTGTGCTACAATTGAAGTCGGGTTCTCTTAACCTGACCCCCTCCTGCCTAGGTAGGAGCACAAGTCTGTGCTCCCAAACGCACAACAGACTCCCTGACTTTTCAGTAATCTCATGATTTCAGCCAATTTCAAAGAAACAGCACTTCAAGGCACTTACAACCTTCACTTGGGGTAAATTCTGCTTCTTTCAGCTCTACCACCACACTGATAACACTGTTTAAATCGCACTTTGGGTCTTCTTTGGAAAGGAAAAACCCAAGTCTGGGTGAATGATGCAGAGAACAAACCGATAGGTAACGCCTTGGTGAGCGGAGGAGAGCAAATGCACCAGAATTCAGTGGTTACTATTGCATTCTGCAGAGTAATGATGGAATATGGCAACACGGGGTCTTTGAATTACAGACAGGTGAATGCTGAGCATGGGGCAACACAGAAGGTGGCTCTTTGGGGACCCCAAGGGGAAAAAAACGAGGAATAGAAAGAAACCTGCTTTTCACCAGGTTAAGGCCTTACTTCCTTATTTTGCTAGTCAATATCTAGTCACACAGATAAAATCCACACACACATACTCCAGTTAACATCACACCCTGAGCAGCCTCCCAGCACTGAGCAAGGCTCAGGGAGAAGAATGGTTCCTGTTCCCTGAGCTGCAGCGCCAGCAGCAGCACACCCATCAGCCTGCTGTCTGCACAGCACGGAGATGGCGAAGCACAGCAGAAGGCAGTGACTGCCCATGGCATGTCGGGGCATGCAAGCACAGCACCTCTTGGTTCAAATTCCCTGTAGCTGTGCAGCACCAGGATGTGTCTTTGCTCTTTTCCACACCTGTATCTGCAGTCCAGCTGGATACTGGTTGAATGGGGTGAAGCATGCCCAGTCCCATCAGCATGGGAAGACTGCAATGCGTCTTCCTGCCCTCTCAACCTGAACATCTGGGGACATCTCAGTGTCTAATTTACCTCTTCTTCCCCAAACATACAGCACTGAAAACAAATAACGTGGCTCGCTTCCATCTGGGAGCTGGGCTTTGAAGGGCAGGGGGTTGATTTCCTTCTTGTTGTGGTTTTGCATTGTCACATTCTAATAACTAAAGAAAAAGACCCCCAACACATATGTTAAACAGTTGTCATCCAAATGGCCATCTCATTGTTGGGTGCATACGAAGCCAGACACAGTAGGAATCTCATGTTCCTTTTCCTTTTTGGGATCTACAATATGGCTGTATCTTTCTCCTCGGTGACACTGCAGGTATGGGCCCCAGTTTGCAGCGGGTCTGCAGCAGCTTACAATGCGCTGGAAAGGAAAAGCAAGAGGCATTTAATCTCTTAACAGGCTATTGTTAAAGTCCAGTAAAGCTGTAACTCTAGATCTGCCCTGTAGATACTAACACATGGCAAACAAATCATAGAATCCCAGCCTGGTTTGGGTTGGAAGGGACCTTAAAGCTCAATCAGCTCCAATCCCCTGCCATGGGCAGGGACACCTTCCACTAGAGCAGGTTGCTCCAAGCCCCTGTGTCCAACCTGCCCTTGAACACTGCCAGGGATGGGGCAGCCACAGGTTCGCTGGGCACCCTGTGCCAGCGCCTCAGCACCCTCACAGGGAAGAGCTTCTGCCTCAGAGCTCATCTCAGTCTCCCCTCTGGCAGGTTAAAGCCATTCCCCTTGGCCTGTCCATAGAAGCCCTTGTCCAAAGCCCCTCTCCAGGTTTCCTGGAGCCCCTTTAGGCACTGGAGCTACTCTAAGGTCTCCCCTTAAGGAGCCTTCTCTTTTCCAGGCTGAACAATCCCAGTTCTCTCAGGGCTTATTCAGGAGACAGGAGAGGTCTTTGGGTTCAGTGGATCCTGGACACTGAAGTCCAGCAAGCAGGGAAACCTGTGAGCAGCAGGACTCTTCGGCAAAGGCTGGCAAGAAGAGCATACCTCAGTTCTTGCACTTGCTTCTTTGTGAGAGGAATGGGATGCAAAACTCCAGGAAATGGTATAGGGATAGAAAGTGATGGAAATTCTTCAGAGAGCTTAAAGCAGCTGAAGAACAACAGAAACCGTGAAAATGACTTTTGAATGTTTGGGTGCATTCCCAGAGAACTAGACATTATCTTCATATCAGAACACAGGGGGTAAATTTGCCTCTGATGCAACTACCAGAGGTGTGATTTGCTGTAAAAATCCAATTCACGAACACCTCAAGGCACTGGGGATGCGGTGCTGAAGAAAGCGCAGGTGTTCCTGGTAACACCAAGGAAAGCAAGAGGTGAGGCCATGACAGCTGCTTTGTGCCCTTACCTGGCAAAGGTTTCCTTCAGCTTTAACTACTTTTAGAACAGCGACGATGGGAATCCAGATGACACAGAAAATGATCATGCACCAGCCAACAGCAGTTCCCCAGCCTGGATAGACCACGGAGCCGTAAGTGGGAGGTGAAAATGTGACCAAAGACCAGACCAAAATTGCCTATTAAAAACAAAAGGCAAAAAGATGAAGCAAGAAAAGCAGATTTGCAGCTAACTTGAACTTGCACCCTGTTTCCAAGCTGTTAAGAATTAACAACTACCAATTCCCTCTTGGGAATTCTGCACGACCAGAATGGTTGTGCGGGTTTGGTGTTCAGGCATGGCCAAGTAAGACTGAAGGATGGACTGAAAATGACAGTGACATGCACCCTAACACTTCAAGCACATCTATCATTTAAATAGAATTTGATCTCTCTGTTCTGTTGAAATCTTACGTTGTAGAATAGCTGTATTGCTGGATAAGCCCAGTGCCTTTCTCTGTGTGCTTTCCGTGTTCCCATGTTCCACTGTTTTACACAAATATGGGATAGAATCCAAGATTAAACATTGGCAAATACTGCTGCAGAAACAAGGTATTTTTAAGCTGTATTTTCTAAACTGTAATCTGGACAGATTAAAGGTTATGTGCTGGACAGAGTGACTTGTCCCTGTTCCTGGATTTGGGATGTTAATAAGTTCTCTCACACTAACATAATGCAATCATCTACACTCACAATTAGGAGTAATGAAAAACTGAGAAGGTGAGGGGACATAAGATGTCTCAGACAGGGAGAGAGCTGGACATCCACAGAGCAAACCCAAGCCAGAGATCTGTCCTAAGAATGGGATTTACTTCAAAAGGGGAAAAAAGCCAGGTTTTCAAAGCCTTTCTCAGTCTGAAATTAAGATAACCCAGCTGCTAAAATGGACAACCTGATGCTCGCTCTGTGTAACTCCTCAGGAGTGTAGACCCAGCTCAGTAGCAACTGATCTGAAGGTCCAGCCTCTCCTGGAGAGGACCCAAAGAGGAGGGGAATGTATCAGAAAGCACAGATAGCACATAGTTTGTTTCAGTGGCACAGCCATGCCCCATCTTCATACACAGGGCCTGGGCATTCAGCCTTGAATCTTCACGTGGAAACCTCTAACACATCCAAGTCACCTTCACTCACCAGTAACAGCACAGGAGTAACAAAAAACCAGCACATTCTCCACCACATCCAAAATAAACAGCTCTTCTTGCCAATCATCATTTCAATGTCTTCAATGAACCTGTTCCCTCCTGTTGGGAGACAATGGTAGGGTGCACTGTAAAGCAGGTGTGGTGACTCCAAAGTGACAAAAGAAAGGCAATAGAATCATAGAATGGTTTGGGTTGGAAAGGACCTTAAGATCATCTAGTTCCAACCCCCCTGCCATGGGCAGGGACACCACACACTAAACTATGTCACCCAAGGCTCTGTCCAACCTGGTCTTGAACACCGCCAGGGTTGGAGCATTTACAACTTCCTTGGGCAACCCATTCCAGTGCCTCACCACCCTCACTGTAAATAACTTCTTCCTCATATCTAACCTAAAGTTCCCCTGTTTAAGTTTAAACCCATTACCCCTTGTCCTACCACTACAGCCCCTAACGAAGAGTCCCTCCCCAACATCCTTATAGGCCCCGAGGACAGTTTCTCCCGTGCTATGGTAACTGTCAAATTGTAAAGCCAGTTAAATTATAAATGCTTTATTGTGGTAATTAATGCTTCGTGTGCACTGTGCCTCAGATTGCATGGTCAAATCATGGAATTTCAATGAAATAACTTACCATAAATGTAGATGATGCCTATTATCTCCAGGACGGCTGCAATAAGGATACCCCATCCAGCACAGAAGTGATCTATTAGGTTGACCCAGTAAATCCCTGCCTGTATAAAACAAACAATAAGGAAGTAAAAAAAGGGAGTAGTAATGTCTTTATGAAGATAAAATAAGCTGCGTTGTTCAAGCCACGTTAACTAGTCACCAGTCTGAGTGTAATTCCCAGTTCTCCAGGTTAAGCACGCACTTGGGAATGTTATTTTCATAGAATCACAGAATGGTTTTGGAGCTTCTGATTAAATAGTTCTTTGTAAAGCTGAAAAGCACATCTGACAAACTACTGCAGACCTGTATTCTCAGAACAAGATATATGCATATGCAGCTTTACACACCGGCATGCAACAGCAGGATCACAGAGCAGGAAACAAGCCATTTCACACCCTTGTGTACCAAGTCCTTTGAAAGCTTCCCTGCCATCATGTTTCATAACTTCCATGCTTTGCTTGACCACACAACTGTCTGTTCACCACAATTACCTTCTTCACATTCTCAGCCTAATTACATACATAAATCTGCATTTCTAGATGGAGTACTTGCAATGAACCTTTATATCCTTAAAAGTAATTGCCTCAAGAAATTTTACACAATATACTTCAAATTCCTTTTATGTACACATGTGTACACATGCAGGAGAAGTAACCATACAACCTCCAGATGCTTGTGAGCTAATAGGGGTTTTTTATTGCATGAATAGGCTATTTCTCAAATCCTGTCCTGTTCAGTAGTCAGTTCTGAACAAAAAGATCCCATCAGCATCTATCAGCAGTACCCACAGCACTGCAGACGCACTGTATGCACATGCTTGAGATGACATAAATAATCTGAAGTAAGGAGGAATAAATCAGATTGGTGGTTCACAGGCTCTGTACAAGCCTTCTATTTAAAAGCACATCTCAGTTCAATAATCACAGAAAACCGCAGGTTCCTCAAGTTTCCTTCTGGGAATTTCTTATTGGCACGTCCAGGGACACTGGCAGAATTCAAGATCTCTCAGATCGATTCATGCAAACAGAAACAGTTGGAAAGGATATTTTGACTTGAGTTCATCACTTGCAGCATAACCAAGCCCACTGCCTGAAAAGAATGTAAAGTCTTACCTGAGTAACACAGACCAGACCGAGCAGGAAGAGCAATACGCACACACCCAGGGTTATAGGGAGTCTTAACTTTTTCATCACTTGGGGATATATATCTTGTATGGTGGTTGTAAGTGTTTCTGCAAGGGAAGCAGCGTGGGGTTTGAGCAGCACGGTTAAGAAAGGTAACAGCCATTTGAAAAGCCATGGGTCACTTAAAACCCCACTCACCTACGGTGGCAAACTGAGAGTCAAGGCCCAAGAGCAGGAGCATGAAGAAAAACAAGAAGGACCACAGCGGAGAAACTGGTAGTTTGGAGAGAGCCTCTGGGTAGGCTACAAATGCCAGATCAAATCCTGGAAAGCAGTGGAAGGAAGGGGGTTATTGCAATGCCTTGGCCAGAGCAAGTCCCCATGCCAACAGCACGATGATCAGCCTACCCGAGTCCACGACCTCCGAGACGGGCCTCTCGGACACGAACGCCATGTGTCCCAGGATGGAGAATATTGCAAAGCCAGCAAACACGCTGGTGGCACAGTTGGTCACACAAACTAAAATAGCATCCGAGTAGCAGTTGTTGTGGAACTTATTGTATGAAGACAAAGCAACAAGCCCACCCCATGCCACGGACAGGGAGTAGAATATCTGGGTGGCCGCATCTTTCCAAACCTGCCAGAAATAAGAACATGGGAATTACTGTACTACTTATAGTACATATCATAAACTTCTGAGTCTGTCTCTGTTGAAGTGCCAGGGTCCTGTTTGGTTTTGGGTTGTTTTTCCTTGCATTTAGACTGAATATCTAGTTCTATTTCACACGAATTTTAGAGGAGGTGGGACATAGCATGCCAGTGACTTTGCAGTCTCAAGCACAAACAGTAACTTCTATTATCTCTGAAGTTCACGTCCTTCAGAGAAGAGATTCAATTCATTCACATATGTGGATTATCAAGATATGAATCTTGTCACAGTGCCAACAAATAAGGAAAACCAGGAGCTAATTGCAGAAGTGGAAACTTCCATGTGTTCTCCCACTTGTGTTCCTCACGTCATGAACCAGACAAACCATTTCTGCCTCTATTGCAGATGAAACTCCAGCATGACCCCCGAGAGCTGCTCAGAGGCAATACCATGACCGTGGCCACTGTCAGGCATGGCAGGGAGAGGGCAGAAGGTGGTTAGCTTTTTAGATTGAGAGTAGCTACAACAGGGGTTTGGACTTCCAATAGAGCTGTTCTGTGATTCTCCCCCTCTGCTGTGCTCTGGGGAGACCCCCCCCTGCAGCCCTGATCCAGCTCTGGGGCAACAGCACAAGAGGGATGTGGAGCTGCTGGAGCGAGGCCAGAAGAGGCAATGGAGCTGCTGCGAGGGCTGGAGCAGCTCTGCTCTGGAGCCAGGCTGAGAGAGCTGGGCTGGGGCAGCTGGAGAAGAGAAGGCTCCTCAAGGGGACACCTTAGAGCAGCTCCAGTGCCTAAAGGGGCTCCAGGAAACCTGGAGAGGGGCTTTGGACAATGGAGGGAGGGACAGGACAAGGGGAATGGCTTGAACCTGCCAGAGGGGAGACTGAGATGAGCTCTGGGGCAGAACCTCTTCCCTGGGAGGGTGCTGAGGCGCTGGCACAGGGTGCCCAGAGGAGCTGTGGCTGCCCCATCCCTGGCAGTGTTCAAGGCCAGGTTGGACACAGGGGCTTGGAGCAACCTGCTCTAGTGGAATGTGTCCCTGCCCATGGCAGGGGGTTGGGACTGGAGGAGCTTTAAGCTCCCTTCTAACCTAAACCACTCCACGATTCTTTGATTTTATGACTCTAAACCCCCCAGCCCCTGGCAGAGGGGTTGCTGAACCCACAGAACCCGCTGTGGACACAAACTGCAGAGCAGCACAAGGAGAACCACCTCACTGGCTAAAAAAAACCAAACAAAAAAAAGAAGTTGCTCTGGAAGTGACAAGCCCATAGAACCACAGAAGTGTGTCATGCTTCCGGGGCTGTCACCACCTCTCACCTCTGCTTCCATCAGCTTGGTGATGTTGGACTGTCTCCCAATGTAGTACTCGATGCCATCCAGAGCACCTTCCAGGGTGGCACCTCGCACCAGCAAGATGAGCAGGATGACATAGGGGAATAGCGCAGTAAAGTACACAACCTGCAGGGACACACATTAGATGTGAGGGGACACACAGACCTCTGTGGGGGAAGAATGGCCATTTCTTAGGCTAAGGTCTGCTGGTACAACTCAAAACCAGGTGACCAAGGAAGTGAACACATGCCAACCATTCAAGCATCTGGATTAGCCGGTTCTGGAGCTGCATTCCAGCAGGAAGCACAAGGCCCAAGCCACATACCCACTTTTCAGATAGCACTTGACCAGTTTCACAGATGTGTTTTCTGACATGATTTACTGGCCTGGACTCAACAACCCCAGAGCCCTCTTGCCAGGCTTCTAGCAAATGCTGACTGAAAGCTAGTTCAGGGTGGGTGGCCAGGGTGGAACGATGTCCTGCCAGCAAAGTTCAACAGTGCTCTTGTTTCTCAGTTCCAGTGTTACACAGCCAGGTAATCGACCCAGTGCTGCTGTTCACACCAAGCCGCAGCCATCGCAGAGCGAGTCTGCCATTTCTGAAGACCTCCTTCACATTTCCCCGGAGCAGTCAATTCTGTCTGTTTCACATCTTGCCTTCCTCCTGCCCAGCTAGGTTCTTCTCAGTTTTAGCTTGGTCCTCAAAGAGGTTTACCTTCGTGCCAGAAGAGAAGTGACAACAGGAAGAGCCAATTGCCAGGAACCCAAAGAATGCGAGTTTAAAGAGGAGCCACGCAGCGGAAAGCAGAGATGCTCAACCCTGGAGGGCTGACAGCTCCAAAGAGAAAGCAGAATAGGAGGAGACATGAGACTGAGGAAAGGAAGACAGGCAGCAAGGAACCATGGAAAGGCACAATGGCAGAAGGAATATAAAGGAAACCAAAACCAGCAACAATGAGAAAAACAAACAGTGCAGAGAGGGTGAAAGAAAGAACGAAGGCAACAGAATGAAGATGTACAGAATGAAGCAGTACAGAGGTAGGAAAGCAGCGGGGAGGAAGAAACTGAACCAAGAAAGGGGCCTCAGGCAGGGAACAATGAATTTCAGCCTGCCTGAAGCCTGGGGAGGAGCTGTTCTAGCCCAAAGGAAATGCCAGCCAGCTGTGCTCCGGCACATGGAAATGGAAGCTCAGCAGAGCCAGAGTCTGAACACCAGCACCTACGGACCTGGTTCCTAAAAGCAGCTCGAGTTCTAGAGTCCAAACATTTCTCACCCCAGCAGGAACCTGCACATGTGCTCGCAGGATGTGACCTGCATCTCAACCAGGCTGGAGGTGCAAGTAATTGCCGGGTGTTCCCAGGGTGTGCGTGCGTGTGCCGTCATGGGCACAGGTCCACCAGGGACTGCCAAAACCCAGCTGGAACCACCTGCACAACAGCGAGATCCCCACATGCATGGCAGCTCTGGTGGATCTGGGACCCATGGATTAAGTAATTGCTGTGTAATCAGCACCTTACTCGTATTTTATGTAACAGTTATGAGGCCAAGATGCAGAAAGAAGAGTCCAGCAAAGGGGAGTAGGTTTGGACTGACTCCTGCCTTGTGCTGACTATCCCCGAGTCCAACTGACATTGAAGGGCAGGATTTCAGTACCTAAAGGGTGCCTACAAGAAACCTGGAGAGGGGCTTTTTACAAAGGAATGTAGTGACAAGACAAGGGGAATGGCTTTAAACTAAGAGGGGAGATTAGATCTTAGGCAGAAGCTCTTCCCTGTGAGGGTGCTGAGGCGCTGGCACAGGGTGCCCAGAGAAGCTGTGGCTGCCCCAGCCCTGGCAGTGTTCAAGGCCAGGTTGGACACAGGGGCTTGGAGCAACCTGCTCTAGTAGAAGGTGTCCCTGCCCGTGGCAGGGGTTGGGACTGGATGAGCTTTAAACTCCCTTCCAACCCAAACCAGTCTGTGATAACATGATCAGCTCAAAAGCCTGCGACTTGCTTTTCCCAACTTACCTTTCCAGAAGATTTTATTCCCTTAAACAACGCAGCTCCAACAATTATCCAAGACAGGAGGAGGCAGAGAGCCAGGTACCACACGATGTTACCGGTCTCATCCAACCCACTCGAGCGCTGAAGAGTCACTTTACTGAAAGCACAAAACGCTGCCATGAGGAGAGGGTGACAGCAGCACTTGCTCCTCTTCAGCTACTGCCTGAAGTGAGCTAGTTTCTATAGATATTACAAGACCCTGCGGCTGCTTCCGTGAGCGTGCAGTTAAACTGCATGGTTGGCATTGAAACATGCGTGAAATCCAAATTAGAGGATACTTTGAAAGAAGATGGGGGTTGCTGGTTAGCATAAAGATCACTGCTTCTCAGTTGTTTAGCAATATGCTTCCTCTTCAGAGAATTTATTCTGAAGGATAACAAGAGTAGTATCTAGTACAGGTGTATACATAATCCCCATATATGCCCCATCCCTGGCAGTGTTCAAGGCCAGGTTGGACACAAGGGCTTGGAGCAACCTGCTCTAGTGGAAGGTGTCCCTGCCCGCGGCAGGGGTTGGAACTGGATAAGCTTTAAGGTCCCAACACAAACCAGGCTGGGATTCTATGAAAACCTGAATATTTAACTGCATTTTCCCCCTCTTTGTAAAATCTACCAGCCCTCAGCTCTCCATACATCTCCCATCAGGCCTGCCTCAGCTCTTTAATGTTAACCAGGAAATTCTGATGGCAAGACAAGAGCCTATAAGAAGAATCAGTTCACAGGAACCCAGGGAATATGAGGCAAATTGAAACCGTGTGGCTAAAGAGATGGCGATTTCACAGCAGGCACAGATTCAGAATCAAGTGAACACATTTTGCACGGTAACTCCTAAATAAAGAAGTATATGCTGTAAGATGCTAAGCAGTCCCTCCCAGGACTCCAGAGAGGAGCACTTCTTTAAGCTGGAGTATTTTTCAGTTTGCTACAGGTTCATTTGCTGCTCTCTAATTATTTTCTTTTAAGGGTCCAGACTCAGCAATGAAGTTTTAAGTTTAAGTTGCATTTTTAGCAGTTCCTTAAAGTATTTACTTACTTCCAGTATTGCTCACTGGGGAATTGCACTGGTTTGTAGTTTATAGTGCCATTTATACAGGTGAGATTGTTGCTTACGATGAATGAATAGTTTGCGTGAATGGTTTCTCCATCTAAGGTCGCGTTGCAGTCACTTACTGAAAGGAAGCAAGCACAGGGATCACCAACACAGTGATGACTATTATAAATTCACAGTTATAGCACTTACAGATTTTGAGCTAGCATCAACTTGTGGTTAAATCAAGCATCCCAAGTTCATTTTAGGAAGCCTATGTATCTTAGAAGAGATGTTCAGATATATGGCTAAAGAGAGTTACAGTTTACATTAACATTTGGCAACACATTTCCAGCTACTAATTATTTCACCTGCTTCACCTTTGCCTTAAACTGGTTCTAATATGGAAAATGGTGAGATAACTAGTGTTTGGCCATAGATCTGCTGCCAAACATCAAGAACAATAGCAAAGAGATGTGCTCTTAAGAGTTAATAAAGTGTGAAACCAGTGCCCCACTGGTGCTTAGGATTACCATAGCCACAGGGTAGGCAAGGGGCAATGAAACAATGCTGGTGCTCTAGTTTCCGGTAAGGAAGGTATGTGCTTTGCCATGAAGCCTGATGAAATGGGAATGCAGTATTTCCAGGCACTGTATGTACTAGAAGATCTTACAAAGTGTTTTTTCAGCCCAGCTCTCTGTAGATTCCCAAAGAACCCAGAACTAGTGGCAGGGAAGCAGATGAGCATCACTCCCATGTGTTCAGAGACAAAACTGCAGAAGGACTTTTCAAGCCATGGGGAGCTGCCTTGCTCCTGTAATTTCTTCCACAAAACAGTACAGAGTACAAGTATCCAAGACAGTAATATTAAGCTCTATCAGTAATATTAATTAATGGATGATAATAAGTAATATTAAGTACGGTACTTAATCGGGTTTTGCTGCAGAACTCATCTGCCCAGGAGAAGCAATCTGACCACGGCAGCACTTTTTGAAATGAGGCAAATAAATAGTAGAGTGCATAAGCAATGATAACGTTGTAGTAGATCGCCACAAAGGTGGAGACGATGACCATCGTGATGCCCACTCCTAGGAAAGAGAAACACACAATGTCTTCACCACCCCAGACTTGGGCTGGAAATATCATGAAGAAAAAAAAAAAGAATAGTCCTCACTTGACTTCTGAAAGACTGTTTGGGAAGAAATTGAGCTTAGTTTTGTTTGGGTTTTTAAGTCATGTTTAACAGCAACCAAACAGGAAAGGGTTTTGATGCAGAGAGTTTGAATCAGGACCACAATAAAACTGGACTAGTTGCTAAGTCTAAAGGAGGAATTCGATATTTTGTTCCCTCCCAGTTCAGAGAGAAGCTTGGATTGCTTAGTAAAATAAAAGAAACTACTCTAGAGCTGGCCAAGGCATTTTGAAGATCTCACTGTAATGGATGGTTTTGCCAGTAAATGAGAAGCAATACAGAAGAGTAAATCTGTGCTGATTTACTGATAATACTGTTTCCTTCCTTTGTTAAAATGAACTTTGCTCTGCGAGTCTGGGCAGGTCTGCCAAGCTGTCCCAGTCAACTCAGAGACTCTATTTAAAGTTTATATCTTCACAGACACAGAAAAGATTTCCAGCGTCTATAGACTTTGTCTTAAAGTTAAATACACTGCTCTCATGGAAGGTTGCTTGTGCTGCAGAACTGGGACTGGCAAAAAGGGTAAGTGTTCAGGCCACCTCACGGGCTGTAATCCCTTCGGTTTCTGTAGAAGGTGGAAAGTAAAAATTCTCACTGCATCAGAAAAACTTCCTTGTTCCTGCATTAATTCCTCTTATAGATAAAGAAGTCATACAAGACCAATTGCACAGTCCTTTACATCCAGTTCAGGGCCTGGATGGACAGGAGTGAGTAAAGTACAAGGTGAGTTTTCTCCAAATACACGCATCTCCCTGTGAAATTCCAACTCTCAGACATCGGCAAACTACCACTACAGGCTGCAACTCTCTCTTATCAGTGAGTTGGATGAATATGTGCCCAGCAGTGCATAAAGCAATCAGACCCAGGTGCCTGTGCCGGTGCTGGCAGCCAGATACAGAATTAGTCCACCCAACATGCTACTGCCTTGCAAGCTGCACAGGACATGGTATATAAGTAAACAGCAATAAAGAGAACCTCTAAAAATGATTTTCAACCTGTTGCATGTGGTGCTGGGTGGTTAACTGAGGTTTTCCCTCACAAACAAACAGGGTGCTTTCCTCCTGCCTGGGCACAAGCAGTTTGGATGGTGTGCTGCATAGCACCAGGAGAATCATTAATAAAACCTCCTATAATTGACATCCTTTGGGGGAAAATCTTTAATCCCCATCTCTATTAACGGAATAAGTAAGATCACAGAACGGTGAGGGTTGGAAGATCTACCTGGGAACATAGACTCGTGCAATAGTTCGGGTTGCAAGGGACCTTCAAAGCTCATGTAGTCCAACCCCCAGCATAATACTGACCTTGTAGCATTGGGAATATTCTGTACAAGGAAACTGGCTTCTCATAATTAGTAACTTCGTGAAGAAATCATTAATTCCTATCTGTTTATTACTAGAATAAAAAGACCTAAAGGAAACGTAACAATACCAACCTTGAAACAATGGCAATATTCTCCAAATGGAAATTGGCCCCAGGCTGGCAAACTGCCCAAGAGAACATTCCATGAAAAATAAGGGCAAACCAGCTAAGGCCAACATCAGGGTGTATGGGATGAGAAAAGCACCTGAAGGGAGAGAGGGGGAAAACCACAAACACAGAGAAAACAATTAATTTTTCAGTATTTACCCCAGTTCCACCAGATTTTATATCCCCCCTTTCCCCTGCTTCAAATATCCCACCGTGGGTGTTTTCTTTTCTGCTTGCAGAATGGAGAGATTTGTTTCTAACTCCTGTTTTCTGTTAGGTTAAACAGTACCTGTGATGAAGAGACATTACCAGGAGAACTGGTGATTTACATGGGATGGCTTCTCTGACCAACTCAAAAGGATTTCACGCCAGCTATCAAAGCCAGACTGTTGTCATACAAGCAGGAGCACTGCTCAGCTGCAGACCCCACCGGCTTCCCAGTTCATCTTCCAGCTTTTCATTTAAATAGGAACAGAACCATCCCTTCCCGGACTTCACTATCATTTGCAACTGCCCTGTTTGAGGAGCTACTGGACATCAAAGCATGAAGATTATTTTCTATGGTTGGCTGACTCCTCTGTCAAACAGGATCCCAGCGTGGCTTTTGTTCACATCCATTTTAAAGTGTACATTAACTTGGTATCAATGAGAGCCCTGTTCTGCAAGAGGGACTGGCACATCTTTGTGTGCGAGCAGAAGACAGGGCAAGGAAGAGCACAGGTTTCCTAAACACAACCTGATATCCCCACAGAAACCTGTCCTCTTCACTGAATTTAAAGCAATCGAGGACCCAGTTCTGGGGGGAACTGCAAGTACCTGCTGGCATGTAAGGCAGCAAATAGTCCCATGGGATTAACTGGGTTACACCTCGTGTTTCAAAGCAAGGATGTAACAGTCGTCTTTATCAACCGTGGGGCACTAAGTGGGATACCAGCAGCAGCAGAAATATGCCTTAATGAAAATCTTTCTGCTCCAGCAGGTAAGTGCAAGAGCCAATGTCACAACTTATTTTGGTTTTGTGGTTTTCTTTAGCAAAAGTGTAAGTAATGCAACTTCTGCACCAAGAATGCCTCTGGGTGTTACACATGCTGTGCTGCACTTAGAGTCCAGGATTTGACTTCCAGTGTCTGTTAGGCAGAGAAAATAAGTACATATGAATAAGTCCTCTGCAGTTACTTGGTGTTTACGCTCTCTTTAATTATCAGTGGTTGCTTGGCAAGTAGACAAAGCTCTGAAATAGCAGCCAGGGAAGCCAGTGCCTCCGTTTGGCTTTGCCACTAGTTCATTGTGTAAGCAGGTAGAGGCTCTCTGTGCCCCACACTTCCCGAGATTCTGATGAGGTAATTATTGAGCTTGGATAATTACTCCAGCTCAGCTTGTTTGCCTGGCAAAACAAAGGTGCAGAGGGGATTCAATGGCTCTCCATAAACATATCAGGGAGGTAAGCAAGGGGAAGGGAGAACAGCTAGTTAGGTAAGTAGAGGATATTGGCACATTGACAAAAAGATGCATTTGGTCACGAGTAAATCAGAAGCATTCTGGAATTTGCAGGTGGAAGTTTGCAATTAAAATAATTGAAATTAAATCACCGAATGGGAAGGACCTTTAAAGCTCATCTAGTCCAGCCCCGTGCAATGAGCAGGGACATCTTCAACTAAATCAGGTTGTTCGGAACCACTGTTTCCCTCCTCAGCTGGTACCCAAAAAGCAGAGATGTCTCTTAGTCCTCTTCCCATCCCCATCAGCAGGTACTATGCCAGTTCTGAGGGTGATGCTCACATCCAGCTTTGACAGGACATGCCCAGCCTCAGGGCTGGCCTCTCTTAGGGACAGCGAGGTGTGCCCACCCCACACAGCCATTCCACACAGGTACCTCCGCCGTTCTGGTAGGCGAGGTAGGGAAACCTCCAGACGTTGCCCAGGCCCACGGCGTAGCCCACCATGGAGAGCAGGTAGTCGCCTTTGTTTGACCAGTTGCCACGCTCCAGGTTCTCATCACTGTCACCAATGTGGGCATCTTTTTCATCGGACAAACTGAAGTTCTTGGGAGAGAATGAGAGGAAAGGCTCAGGATCACCCATAGGTGGGCAGGATAGTCATATCCTCATTCCTCTGTCCACAGCAGCACCTTGGCATCGCTGGGCAGAGCTGGGTGGGCTGCCTGTTCACCTCATCCCTAAGCAGGACAGCATGGATCTGGGTGAGAGAGTCCCACCAGAGAGCCCCAAACAAACTTTATGGCCAGTTTTGCCCTGCTCCTACTGTAGTCCCCTGTGCTCTCAGCTCCTGGGTCAGTTCATCCAAGAGATGTTCTGTTCCTACAGTCACATCAGCACATACTTGTGTGCCCGCTCTGAAAACCCGTCTGGGTGCTCACCCCCTCAGCGCTCCCATATCCCCATACCTGTCTGAATCTCCCTTTGCCCACACAACTCCGTATCACCACACCTCACCTCCGCAGGGCTCGAAGGCACCTGCACCCAGTTGACTGAGTGGTACTTGAGTGGTAACCGATGCATCCTTAGGTGCTCCCTACCCCATCCCCATCCTCCTCACCTTCTTCTTCCCGCAGGAGAGGAATCGCAGCAGGCTGAGCATCCCCATGGTCGCGCCTCCGGAGCCGCTCCACTCTGCCCGCACCGCCCGCAGCTCTGCCCTAT